AAATGATCCAAATGGTACAGAGCATCATATACCCACAGTCTAACATTATCTAACATAATTTATCAAAATAACTATTTTAAGTTTATTACTTGATTTAGGAAAAGGGCACAAGTGCTCGTCCGCTGCCGATGCTGCTGCAAAATCCACAACGATCGTAATTACCTTGGTGGTAAACAACCGGTTTGATAAGCCACAATTTTTGAAGCCCTCCTTCACTTAGATGACAAGAATTCATGGGTCGCATTGAGGGCTTGGACATCGTAAATCTCTAGTATTGCGCTGTTTAAGCCCTGCTAACCTTTGATGACGATGACAAAACAACAACAACAGCAATTCATTGGTTCTTGGCATACGTCATTGTTTACGAGGAAAACACGTTGTGTCAGACTGCAGTGAAATGAAGTTGTTTCGAGGATTCCTATTCATTGTCAAATGTAATTTGTGAGCACTTTCAAAACTCATTGAATTGTCTCCAAAAATAACTTTTTTTGTTAATTGAATCATGAGAAATTCTGCACTGCAATGTTCCTCAAAATAGGCTCATTTAGGTTATAGTCTCTTTGAACAGAACAAGAAGTTTGTGATTTTTCGTGTCAAGACAAGGACAAAGCGGGGTCGTTCTTTTTCACTGCTACCGTGCCAGTAAGTTTTGTCAAGAAACAAAATGGGCAGTTAATGATGCAGTACTAAGTTTACTGACAGAGCTCCTCTTGTCATTTCAGTAAATCCATCTATCCAAGGAAGATCAGGCAGTCAAAATCCAGCCCAATGATTTCTGTCAAAGTAATTCTTAAATATGAAACGAACGTTTGTCCCTGATCATTGTTACTCACGGTTGAATTTTTGGAAGAATCACATTATGAATGCAAACTCAGAGGGGAAGACTCAGGTACAGTTCTAAAGAAATTCCATAATCTTACATCATGCAGTCGAATCGAATTTGTTGGTGGAATTGACACTTCAATGTAACTGCAGGTTTAACGTTGTCGTAGAAAAGAAAACTCCTTAAGCCTAGTTCCGTCTCATTTGCACCTGTGACTGTCAGCCTAAAATATGCAGTGAAAATGGTAATACAATGCCAATATCATCTCTGTATGAATATAATATATATGACACTATGTGAACATAGTATATATACAGACGCCATCCTTATTTAAATAAATGAGGAAACGAATCTACGAACCGAGCTTGGGCAACGGTGCAATGGCAAATTTTACCTTTTCCTTTGAAGTGGGGAGAATGATCTTTAAGCATAATCCGTTAAGCGTCGCCGGAGTCCTACTTTTCTCATGTGTTCGAGTCGAATTTTCTATTCGACGGGTGGAACTGGCTATGGTAAGGTATAACAGCCTATTCTTGAGGATAACGCAGACGATGGCTCTTCCTCATTCAGTCTGGTGCTGTTATCAGCGGACCCTTCTTCTAGATAGACCCGTCATAAAGTTACAAAGAGCTTCTTCAATCCCTGTCACAACAGTAAATTTCATTGACCATTTTAAGCTCATGATAAACGTTCATGGCTAGTGTAACGGATTAGGAATATGGGTTCCATAATGCTTCGTTCTGCTGTCTGGTCCAAAGTTTCCACGATGGTATTACAGAGATCGTTCTATTCACGCATTCATAGTCCAGTGTTTCAGTGCCAGCTGTTTCTTTCTGAGGTCATAGGACAGCTGATTGACTGATTCAGGAGATCTTTCCAATGGCTCTGCCTCTCGGCTGATTTAGTAGGCTAAACTATTGTGATTTTAAATCATACCAACGTCTCATCCTCTGTATAATCAGACTATCTGGCTATAAGTACTTTGTCGCAATAATTGCCTAGTATAAATCTCAAGCATCGTTTTTAACGGTTAGACATAATAAATCTGTGTTACTCTGCTGTTTAAGCCTTGTTAGCTTCCGATGACCATGGCAAAATGATAATTAAATAATACCAAACATTGAATAACCAATGACAATGTAATATATACAATAAACTAAACAAATACAAATATACTTAAACATGCAATAACAAGTGCAACTTTTTCACTCATAAGTAAGAAATGTAGTCGTTTTTCATAAATTTAATATATTATGCAGGAAAGTCTGGGTGGAACAAATGAATCACATATCAAGGTGGAAAATGGCTACTCTTGTAACTCTAAAAGTCTTGCTATGATTTCCAAAACGGCTGAAAAGACACAAGATAAACGAGAATGACAGATAACCTTAGTTTTTCATCGCTAGAATAAATGTTTCCAATAATTATAGTTAATAAAAAACCTGTTTCATACTGCTTAGTCTCTGGAAACAGTAAAATCATTTCGTCATTCGGTATATCCATGAAGGACGATGAGACATGATTTATTAGGCTAAGATGAGCGAGGTACCATTAGCTGCTAGATTGCGTCTAGAAATGAAAAAATTGGTTGGTATATGACTATGTGCAGAGCATATATATACATATAATATATACCACCACACGATATCGACAGATTTTGTTACATGTTAACTACTAGGATTTCTCCTACAGTGCTGAGCCTGGCATTTTGCGCGTTCAACTCGGTATTTGCTTTGGCTTGGCTGTTTCCATTGGGGTAACCGAGTGGACCATTTATCGTCAATGCATGGGCATTGAGAGGGGACAATACGACTGTTGTCCTCAATAGATTTCAAATTTATGCAAATGAAAGTGTAAAGTGTTTTACCCACATGTTTCCCGTTCGGAAAGCAACTTACATTTCCCATTAACAAGGGTTGATAGTCCACAGAACGTCAAATTCTTAAGCAAGAGGTCCCAGAATCGAGTGCCCTCGTTTTTCCTCCTTCAGACGTTGGTAAATGAATATCATACTGTGGAAAGGGAAACGGAAGACCAACCCTGTGCTTACCGTATTGTTGCCGTGGACCATGTCTTTGAATAAGGAAGTAATGGCTGATGCTGCTGTAGTGGAGGACGACATTCCAACGGCTACTAAGTCAATTTTTTCTATACTTTTAACGTATTTCTTCACTACAGAGAAAAAGTCCACAGACGTTTTTGAAATAAAGTCATGTAGTTTCAAAAATGGTTTTCTCAGATTTCCGCTAAGGAGAAAATAATATTATGCTGAATAAAGAGACACAACTGAATAGAAAATCAGTACATACCATCTACTTCACACCAGCATCGATCCTTCTTCATTAAGGCTTCATCCCATGCTGTCTATGGAAATCAGGCACTTATTTCTCAACTTTTGCATATATGCTTCAGCTGAAAATGGAGCGAAGCATTCTCCTGCATAGGATTAATAAATTCTGAATCCTGAAGTGCAGAACGAGGCATACAGCTCTGAACTCTGTTAATCAGTGCCGTGGTTTGCCTCGAATACTTTATGTATAAGATATATGATTGAGCATTTTCTGTGCGTTGTTGATTGCAGTAGTTATGCCGAAACACAGACATAAATTTGATTTAGTTATACAAGTTAAAAATAGCTGTTTTTTAGGCCGAGAGATCGGTTTCGCATTGGTATGGTCACATGACGAAGAGACAACAGGAAATACTGTACAAGTAAACGTGAAAAAATCAAAATCTGAGGAAAGGGGGGGAAGGTCAGACCAAAAAACGATCTTTGAATATGCTGAAGACCAACACAGTCGCGCCTTGAAATCCACACCAAGAAGCCTGGTTGCTTCTCCACAAATCAGGTTTCCTGAGATAGATGACTTCATGACCTAAATGGAACGTTTGTATGACAAATGCAGAAAATAATGAATTAATCCTTGTCCTTGAACGATTTCTTCATATCCATAAATCTGTTCTCGTCTAGTTACCTTATTGCGTTAATCTACTGTTTCAAGATGAAGCCTCTCCGTGGTTACTGTAGCCGGTGAGCTGTTCATGCTCCTGTCCAGAACGGTAATCCATCCATGCAGGTACGGAACCATTACCACTTATTAATCTGAACGGTAGCATGAACGCTCCTTCGTACTCGGTCCTTACGTCGCTTCTGCGGTCTAATGACCTGTGAAATTTCGAATTGAGCGAACTAGTATTGTCATGTGGTCCCCTGACATACAGAACTAAACAGAAACACTGTCATTGCAGGTCTCCAATCCTCAT